GACGAGCCTTCTTCCTATCTAGATGTCAAACAGCGTCTCAATGCTGCTGTAACTATTAGATCTCTAATTCATCCTGACAAGTAAGTATATTTGTAAAAAAAAACCAGGAGAAAAGAACGATTAGTTTTCATTAGATTTCTAACGCATTTATTACTTGTCTTAATATATTAGGTTTATAATAGTAGTGGAGCACGATTTATCGGTTTTGGACTATCTGTCCGATTTCATTTGTTGCCTATATGGCGTTCCCGGGGCATATGGAGTCGTTACCATGCCTTTTTCCGTAAGAGAAGGAATAAACATTTTCCTCGATGGGTTTGTTCCCACGGAAAATTTACGATTTCGTGAAGAATCTCTTGTGTTTAAAGTAGCAGAAAGTGCAACTGAGGAAGAAGTGAAACGCATGAATCACTACGAGTATCCTGCTATGTCAAAAACAATGGGATCATTTAAGTTGAATGTCGAGAAAGGGCAATTCACCGATTCGGAAATACTTGTTCTATTAGGAGAAAATGGGACTGGTAAAACAACGTTTATCAGAATGCTGGCAGGCAACTTACCTCCGGATGATGGATCAGGTATGCTCACGTGTATCTACATATAAGTATGCATATTATTTGTGTATCTGTCATTGGCGGGTACGACCATTAAAAGGAACACGGGATGAATTCCGTGACATTTTCAACTAAATGAGTAGAATTAATATAATGAAGTTTTATTTGTACAGTACTTTGCGAGAAAGTCGAATTTAATAATTGTAAAATTGGTAACATCTTTTCTTTGTTATTTGTCAGTTAAACGTTATTTGTCGGTAATCTTAGTATGCATGATATGAAATTGTGATAATGAAATTGTTGCTTTACAGAAAGTATCCCTCAACTTCACATCAGTTATAAACCACAAAAGATAAGCCCCAAATCCCAAGGCATTGTCAGACAACTGTTACACGAGAAGGTCCGAGACGCATACGTGCATCCTCAATTTGTAACTGATGTAATGAAGCCTTTGAAGATCGACGATATCATGGATCAAGAAGTGCAGAATCTTTCTGGTGGAGAGTTACAGCGAGTCGCTCTAGCCCTTTGCCTTGGAAAGCCAGCTGATGTTTATTTGATTGACGAGCCATCCGCGTATTTGGATTCCGAACAACGTTTAGTTGCTGCAAAGGTCATCAAGAGGTATTTAATAGATTTAAATATTATCATCTAGAGATGTGAATGTACTGGAATGGAATGAATACTGTTATAAAAATTGCATGTACATTTCAGATTTATATTACACGCAAAGAAAACAGGATTTGTAGTGGAACACGATTTCATCATGGCTACATATTTAGCTGATCGTGTAATAGTATTTTCCGGTATACCGTCCTTAATGACAACTGCTCATAGTCCTCAATCTTTGTTAAACGGTATGAACCGATTTCTGGAACTATTGGGCATCACTTTCAGAAGAGATCCCAACAACTTTAGACCAAGGATCAATAAGAATCAATCGGTAAAAGTACGTATAACTTTTGTTGATATAACTTTCTCTAAACAACGTGAACTTTATTAAAAATGTTCAATTGCAAATATATTTTGGATAAGGGTAAAATTCTAATCAATTACTTTTCTTATAGGACTTGGATCAGAAAAGAGCTGGACAGTATTTCTTTTTGGAAGAATAAGATATACAGTGTCATAATAGTGCAAGTCAAATGCACATATAAGATATTGTTAAGGACATTTTTTTAATCTTTATACTTTTTAAATGCCAGGAATATGAGCAGACAATGTATTTTGTATTAAGATATTAATGCTATACGTTCTAGGTAATTATTTGGAATATTATTCAATGAAAATGTCACTTTAGCAAGAGTAATAATTATTTTATTTTGCAAATAACGCAAAATATATAATTACGTATACAGCTACAGGACACTTAATTTATAAGAGGATGTAGAATGGATTATTTGAAGATAAAGTTGAGAATGTATTGTAAAAACGAATTTCTCATAAGTATATTCGTCAAACTATATAATTTGCACATATCTAATATAGAATAAGATTCTAATATTCCCTGAACATATTTACATGTACGTCCGTTATAAGAACGAAATAATATTAAATTGCAAACAATATATATAAACGATTTCTTCAATTGTTTTTTTTTTTCTAAAATAAGATACAATTATCAGAAGTGTAAAGGCCCTTGCACAATGCTAGGCAACAGGCAATAAAACGGGCTCGATTCTTGATTTCATTTGCAAGAGAAACATATGTGAAAATTCTTCTCTTGCAGAAACGTTGCAAATTGATTGATTAAAAGCTATGCGATAGCCAATTAACTTGCAACTTTTTTGTAAGAACAACATTTGCGCATACGTTTCTCGCGAATAAATTCAAGAATCGAGCCAATATCGAGGCAATAAATTTTCAACCTATCGGCGCCGTGTCTACAATACGTCGCAAACGATGGCAACTGCTACTAGGAATAAAAAGAATATTAATTAGAGGATATCTGCGTATACCTATAATTCGAATAAATTCTATTACTTTTCGCGAATAATAGTAATTTTACCACAAATATGATATAATTAAAAATGCTAAATCTGGAAAATAAATATTATTCAAAATCAAGTATCAAGAGACACGGTAGTTTCTCGCGCCAAGTACACGCGGAGCGAGACCGACCGTGACTCTTTTACGCGACGCGACGATTTGCGAATACTCGAGATGTTGAGTTTGAGATCTCATATAATTTAAATTAACGCGAAATTGATCAACTTTAAAATAATCGCTACAAGAAATTTTTCTGTTTTGCGAGATAACATTTATTGGATCTTACGTCATTTTAACTGGCATAAAAACCAGTTATCAATACATATGGGTAAACTGTAAAAGTTTAGGCTATAATAGTGTTTATTAAAAAATATAAACTTCTAGCGCCAACTTATTTCCGGTAACTCCAGTCGCTCCAGGCAGCTTCTCTCTCGGTCGGCGCCCGGTCGGCTCGGTGGTAAGTAGGAAGCAGTAGGGAGCATGGTAGAAATACAAGGGTATGCTCATACCGTGTCAGACCACTGCG